CCTTCCTTCTCTATCCCGCCTGTAAGCCTATAACACAAAGATAGTGTGGATGAAAGGGGAGGTAGCTGGTCATATTTAAATAACCTGCCTTTCAGGAATACTTTTAATTATGTAGGAAAATGAAAGAGATCTCAAGATAAACTAATTAATTATGTAGGGGCAGGGAAAGGTAGCTTTTCAGTTTACACTTCATGAAGCAGATCATTAATTGGTATAATCAAGTGTAGTCTTATTAACCAGTCTAACCCTATCTGAAGTTTGACTTCTGCTATGAATCTGGTGGGTTTCATGGAGTTATGGGTATCAGTCATAACATGTTGTATTTCCCCTTTTCTTTTCAAGGCAAATTAGTGAATAATGTCTGAGGGTGTTCATTATGTATGAGTCTTTCTAATGATCTCTCAGTAGCCATATTTATAAGTTTACTACCAAGAACCTTTAGCACTTTTCAGCAGAGTAAAATTTTGTCCAGTTCTCATTGGATGTCTAGCTCATTAGGCTGTTTTTTTGCAAGTAACAAAGTGTATATACATAAGTTGCACTTCTGTCAGCCTAACTAGGCTGATCTGTACAGACATTCAGGGAGGTTAGATTGGGCAAAAAAATGGCTAGCCCAATCTAACTTACTTCACCTCCTCAGGTGAAATAAGCTAGATCAGGAATGGATTAGCCCAACCTAACATCTGTACATGTTGAGACTGCACCTTTTGCTCTGGGAAAGCCTAGCTGCTCACCCCAGATCCAGGGCCACCCTCTTCCTACTCCCCCAACCCTGACTGGGGTATTTTTAGCCCTCCAAACTCCCCATTCCAAGACAGAGAACCCCCCTACTGTGAACCCTCCAGACCTCCCTATATCTGCCAACTCCCCTCTTCAGACCTCCTAGCTCTCCCCAGTCCCGCCCACCTCTCTTCCAACCTTGACTTACTTTGATTGGGTTACCAGAGCAACTCCTGGCACCAGTGAATGACTGCACAAATGGGACCTGATCTAATATCATGTGGCTTAAAGCAAGCCAGATGACCATAGGTTGGGTCCCGTCAATGTCTGTATTATATTATTCTTGCTCTTGCATCCTCATTGCCATTTTCTCATGTGCCTTTTATGCTGTCACTCAGCTCCATTAACAAAAAATAAACTTGCAGCTATTTCTCACAGCTTTCTTTGTATCTCTTTCTATGTTTTGCTATGTATGTCCCTGTTATCTCAGAAAATTATAACGCATAGAGGAATCCTCCAGTAAATTTAATATAGTCATACCACAGCCACTCATATATTCTCTCCTGAAAATA